CAGTCGAATATTGTCAATTGTGGGAAAGCAGTGAGTGCTAATTCAGATACCCAGATAAGCGAGCCTATATGTGCATTTCCTGTTGTCTGATCTAACTCTCACTCAAACTTATTTCTTTCGTGTCTCGCCACTTTTGAGCCTTTTAAATGTTGTAGGAATTTTAAAGATACAAACAAATTCGAATATCTCTGGCTAGGAGAGTGGAAGAGAACGCGTCCATGTGTTAATGTATGCAGTTTGTTTGACGTTGCTGGCCCACCAGCGTGGAGAGGAACGCAGTCGAATTTTGATAATTAATTGAAAATACTCGACGTTCCCGTCCAAGTAAGTATTAATGAGCTCAAACCCAGCCCCTGGGTAGGAGTGGCACCCACGTACGGGCCCGTGAAAATTTTTTTCGGGTAAGTTGATAACTCGGGACCGTGAGAAGCTAGAAGACTGGAATTCTTAAAGGGTGTTTCTTAACAGTCTTGGCAACCAGTCTGAAATTCTTTTAGCTAGAAGCATCTGCCGGAAAAACCAGTGCCGTTGGCCACAAAAATCTGCGGGGAACTATGCAAAAAACGTATTTTCGCATGGGCAGCCCATGTGTTGGCTAATTATCATGCTTCGTACCATTCATTTAAAAATTACGGTTCGCCCTACCAACGGTTTCGCAAATTACTTTAACAGACTTATCCCACCCTTCATTTAAACTTTCTGAGATCGGCCTGTTCCACATTTTTTATGTTTTTTTTTGGGTCGACCAAATGTTTTAAGATTATGATACGGTCCTGAAACGGTCCCAATTTATTATTCTCAATGATCAGGCTTAAAAGCGCAAAAAATACCTTTGAAGTGGCGTGAACCATTCTCGATCACGTGCATCGACACGTGCACGTGCATCAATTAAAGCATGAACAATGGGGTGATACCCGTAGAAGCTGGCGAGATGTAAAGCTGATGTCCCATTCTGATCCACCTCGTTCACATCCACACCCTTCTCGATGCAACTTTGCAGCGCTCGCAGATCGTTCAGCAATACAGCTTTCTGTAGCTCAGCCTGAAAGCAAAATATATATTAGAAAATCACTGGCGTAAATCATCGTAAATTTTGCATGAAGGAAAATGAACAATACTCACTGGAATGGTCGTCCATTAAAAAATAACCTATCTGTTCACGGAGCAATTTTCCCGCCAAAATTTTCACATACCCGTGCATGAGAAGCACGCGCACTTGAGGCTGAATTTGAAATCTTTAACTTATACTTGTGTGGGAATCCGCTTAAAATTTTAATTTTCCAGCTCTTCTGGTTCCCGAGTTAGCAATTTTCTCGCCAAAACTTCTGCTTGCTCGTATGCTGGACTCAGACATGCCCGAAGGTCGGTGCCCCGTTCCTGGGGTATCGGAGCTTGCTTGCTTGTCAAGTTGAAATACACGGACGGACGTACACTTATATACACACATATACTAAGAGGCGTCACAATACGTATG